CCCGCCAGAACTGGGGATTGAACTCAGGACCTTGAGCTTGTGAGGCAGGTGTGGTGCCACTGAACTAAATCCCAAACCTGAGATTTTAGTTTTATATTGTATTGTAAATGTTCTACTACCTTCCTGAGTACATTAGGTTGAATGTTGAGTTGACCAGTAAGGTTGCTAAGGTCTTCATTGTTTCCTCCTTCCCTCCCTATGTAGGATATGTGGTATTGCCTGCATTTCCTCTTGTTACTTTAATCACATGTTATATTGAAATCTCTATAAGTAAGACTTGTAACTTAGTGGTAGAGTGTGTACTTAGCATACACAAAGCCCCAGCACTGAAACAAAATAAAAAGCTGTACAAGTCAGACTGACAAATGGAATGGGAAGATTTTTGGTGGCTATAAAAGGCAGTGGAGTATATTGTTACCTGCAGATTTCCTAGTCTTTTTCTAGAATAGTGTGGGCTTCTAGGAATGCAGTGGTCTCTTGACTCATGAGACTCTGATAGTTCCAGCCTGTGGAGCAGTTTGAGAATGTTCCATGGACTGGCATTTCTGACCTCTTGCTGTAGTGGGCCATGTTTTTGTAATGCTCTCTTTGGGTGCAGAAGAGAGCAAACAGGAGTCACAGTAAGATTAAGATTTTTCCCCCATAGGTCTTCAGTTTAATGAAATATGTAACTGTACTGTACTGAGGCTGACTGCCTGGAAAGCACAATTCATTCACTTACTTGGAAATTATTTTTCCCTCCTTTTTTCTTTCTTTCTTTCTTTTTTTTTTTGTTACTGGGGATCGAACTAAGGACCTTGCACTTTCAAGGCAGGCGGTGGAACCACTGAGCTAAATCCACAGCCCTCCCTTCTTTTTCCATACTAAACCTCTCTAAATTTTTATTTCCTCTCTTTAAAAAAACTTTTTTGGTACTAGGGATCGAACTCTAGTTCCTCTTTGTTTTTGTTCTTTTTCTCTTTCCACTGATTTTGTTGCTTTATTCTTGCATCCCCTTTCTCCACATTAAAATGGGTCAGTAACATCCTTTCAGAAGAATGCTTATTTGAAAAAAGATCTTGCCTCATGCAGTGACCCTTGCCTGTATGTAATCACAGCTATTTGGGAAGCCAATGCAGGAAATGGCAAGTTTGAGGCCAGCCTGGGCAACTTAGTAAGACCCTGTCTCAAAAAACAAAGCAAACAAGGGCCGTATTTAGCTTAGTGATTCTGCTGCCTGCCTGGCCAAGTGCAAGGTCCTGAGTTCGATCCGCGGTACAAACAAAACAACAAAACAACAAAAAAAGCAAACAAACAAAAACAACCCTGAATTCCTCTGTAAAATTTTTTGGTGGGAAGTTTACTTTTGGAAGATGAGGATAGAGAATAAAAATTATTCTCATTCCCTGTAGAACGTAAGGAAAACTTCAGAGCTAAACTTCTAGTAGAGATCCTATATAAGTATAGATCTAGCCAAAAGCATTGAAAGTTATTGCTGTGGTTTTTCTGCTGTCCACCCTGCTTTTTTTTTTTTTTTTTTTGTACCAGGGATCGAACTTGGGGACCTTGTGTTTGCAAGGCATTTGGTGGCACCACTGAGCTAAATCCCCGGCCCCCACCCTGCTTTTTGATGATGGTAGGAATTGAACTCAGTGCCAAACAAGTGCTATACTGCTGAACCCAACCCCTTGCTCCACAGCCCACATACAAAGAGCTATTTCCAAATCTTTAGGGCATGTCTAATTAGGAAATAGATATTTAAACTTTTCTTCTGTTATAATTTCTAAAACAATTTCTGTCTCCGTAAAGCTGTGTGTTTAGTATGTAATAGAATAAATGCACTGATTGGACTGGTAATCAGATTCTGGTCCCAGTTTTTCTGTTACCAAGTCACTGGACTGTTAATGTTGCATTCCCTAGATGAAAATGAAGGGATTAGGATGTGTTAGAGCTGAAGTTCCTCCTTATAAAAGTTGAGTCATTCCAGGTTTTATGGTCTTTTTTTTTTAAAGCTGATAAAAAATTAAAAGAACTTTGCTTATATTACTGTTCCTATAAAAATAGCATTCATTTCAATATAAAGTGAGCTAGACTGGGATTCTAAAGGGGCTTAGTCGGTGGATGATTAAACCTTTATATAAGATGGTCTCATGTAGAAATCAAAGTACAGTACTTTCCCTGACAATTTAAGACTAAAATCCAGGATCTCATTTTGAGATTAATGCAAGAAATCTGTCTTTAGTTTGTATCTTGTTTCTGTTCACATATTTAAAAAATGTAACCTATCACCATGTAGGAGCTTTTTCTATCATAGTTTCCATTGAAATATTTTGCTTTAGTCATTCTCCCCTGAGTTCTTTTCCTGAGAATGAAAGATTGAGCTCATACCTCTGCACAAGATCTGGAGATATTTTAAGCTTGGCATGTTTAAACCTGGCAGACTTGATTAATATGTGGTCAGACCAGCACATTAGAACATTTTTAAAGTTCCTAGCCACAAAGTGTGTTTTAAATGAACACAAACATGTATAAAATTGATACTGAAGCCTGGAGTAGCCCAGATATCCAAAATGCTTCTTGCCCTGGGTGACTGATGTTCAGTGAGCCTCTTGCTGGCCCTTGTACATTTCTTCTGCTTTGAGCAGTGGCAAGGGCAGTCAGGAGAGGGTTTGCTCTTTTGGCACTCTGTTACCCTCTGCTTTCAGCAGGGAAAAAGGCTGCTGTTTTACTTCTTAACTCCTACCATATGAAAAGTTTCTGAAAATAAACTTTGGGTTTGTTATTGGATTTCTAAATTTGTAATTTCCACTATCTATTAACTAAAGCCAGTATAAATACCTGTCTATAGGATACATGCAAAATTGTGGGTCTATTTTAGTAAGGATTCCAGCCACAGTATCTAACTTATCACTTAAATTAATCCTCAGATAACGTTGTAGTTGGCATTGGTGAAGAGTTTTATTGTCAAGCAAAAACTAGTCACTAGGTGATTTCAGTGAATTCACTTTGTTTTGTATATGAATTGTTGATGTAATTGTATAGCAGATATTCATAAAAATGTAGACCATACATTAGGTTTTGACAAACAAGTTGTTTATACTAAAGGGAAAAATAATGCTAGTGTTATTCATTGTGTAAATTTGGGTCAGTTGGGTCTTCAGTCAACAAATATGTAGAGAGAACCTTTTATGTTCCAGGTATTGATAGATCTTACGGGGGTAAGAGTTGTATAAAAGATGATTCTTGTTCAGACAAGAGGAAGAAAAAAGGAAACTAGGGACAATAAATGGCTTTAACTGCTCTAATAAGAAACATGGATAAATGCTATGGGACTATGAAGAGACAAGTAGATTAATTCTGGGGAATTGGGAAAGACCAGAAAAATGTTTCAGTTGGATCTGAAATAATAATAACAAAAGTTCACACAATGACTATATTTTATGGAGTGTTCATTGTTTGCCAGGATTAATTTTACCCATCAGGAGAAAGAGGGAAGAACATTCCAGGAAGTAGGAGAAACAATAGAACTACCAAGAATTATGTGTCCCAGGAGGGTTTGATGTGCTTAGTGGGGAAGAGGAGGGAGACCTTTGGCCAGAGAAAGGCTAGTTAGATGGATTGGATTTGATTATGAAGGAAGGCTTTCCTGCCTATCAAAGCCAGTCTCACCAGTTTTTAGGTCCAGCTTTAGAGCATCTCTTGTGAAATCTTTTTTCCCCCTTTCTCAAAGCTTAGTGATTCTTCGTCGTCCTTTTTTTTTTTTGGTACTGGGGATCAAACTCAGGACCTTGCACTTGGGAGGGAGGCAGCAGAACCACTGAGTTAAATCCCTGTCCCCCGCCCCCTTTGTTTTTTTTTTTTTGAGACAGGGTCTCACTATGTAGTTGAGACTGAACTGGAACTCACTATGTAGCCCAGGCTGGTCTCAACTCACAACAATCCTCCTGCCTCAGCCCCCCAAGTGCTGAGATTACAGGCGTGCGCCACCATACCCTCGCTAAAAAACTGCTTTTTAACAGGGCAGTCCCACCCCTGGAGATTGAACCCAGAGCCTTCTAATCCCTAGCCCACATTCATTCATTTATGATACTAGGGTTCAAACTCAGGACCTTGTGCTTCCTGCACCACTGAGCTAAGTCCCTGGCCCCTTCCTCCCTCTCTCTCCCTCTCTCCTTCCCCTCCCCTCCCCTCCCCTCCCCTCTTATATTGGAGATGGAACTCAAGACCTTGTGCCTGCAAGGCGGGTACAGTGCCACTGAGCCAAATCCCCAGCCTTTATTTTTTACCTTGAGGCAAAGTCTCACTAAGTCACTAAATTGCCTAGGCTGGGTTTGAATGTTTGATCTTTCGGCCTCAGTCTTCTAGAGTGCTGGGATACAAGCCTGTGCCAGGATTATAGGTGTGTGCTATCACACCCAACTCACATTCTGTTTCTTGAACTCTTTAGTCTGATCTGTCCAGATGGTTTCTTAACTCCATAAGGACAGAATGAATCCTTTTTAGCACATGGTATAGTGCTGGGCACACTGTGGGTACTCAAGAAATACACAGTGAATGAATAAATATGGAGCATTTATAGATACAGATCTTTGAGATATCTCATCTGTAAAGATTGAGATAGCCTGTGCTTTTAAAAAAGGGCACTAATACCAATAACAATTTTCAGAGGTATCTAGATCAGTTGTCATTTGGAGGTAAAATCAGTTAATAAGATTACCTATCTCATTGAGTGGTTTGAGGATTAATTAGTAGCTTTAATAATACATTTAGAATAGTACCTGGCATATAGTAAGTGCTTGATTAATGTTTCCTATTTAATTCCACCTCTGTGGCATTTTTGCCAGTGACAGAGCTCAACCACTGTTGTGTGGAGAGGATATCACAAGCGCCAAGACCCAAGTTTGATCCCTGGTACCAAAAAAAAAAGAAAGAAAGAAAATTTCTTTGAAACCATATGCCCTTTCAGAATTAGAAGAGCTATTTAAAATGTATGAATTTTTATTTTTCTGTTTGTGTTTTAGTGATCGAAGGGTATGGTTGGCATGGAATTGAATTTCATCTATCTATGGGAATTGTAAGCAAGGTAGGTCCTGGGTTTATTTACTCTTCCCTGTATCCCTTTTCGGTCATGTGTTACCATTCTTAGTTATACTTAGCTAGAATAGATTAGGGAAAATAGTGTCTTCTTGAGTCTCATTCCTCATGGCCCAGTGATTTGCCACCATGGTTTATGTGATGTGTAGATCACATCTAATATCTTGTTAGAATGTTTTGAATGCCAAGAAGTAGCATAACAAGTTTAGAAATTTGGTAGTTGGGCCAGGGAAGCAGCTCACCAGCACAGCACCTGCCTGGTAACTGCGAGATCCTGAGTTCAATCCCTGGTACCAAAAAAAAGTTTGGTATTCATAGACTAGAAACCATGAATTTACGTAGACACATGCAGAAACATATACCAGTCTTTCTGATCTAATCCTTAATGGCAGGTGTTTTTATTAGAGCCATTATGTTGCCCAATCTGGGATGGTGGGAATTGACAGACTAGCTCACTTTTAAAATTTAGTAGCTAATGTGACTAGTAGACTCAATGCAATAAAAAGGCTTGATAGTAGCCAGACCATCAGTGGCAAATACAAATTTTGCTACTAATGACAGATCTGTTCACCTGTAACCACTAGTGTTTGATTTGACATACAGCATGCCCTGTTCCTATCTTAAGTTCTGAGACCTGAACAGAAGTACACCACATGAGACTTTGGCTCATCTATTTGTCTTATATATGTCAGATACCAACAAAAAGAGCTATAGATGGCAGCTTCACACGATTCTGTTGACCTATTTCTGTCTGAACATTTCCTATCAAAAATAGAACTACTGCTAGTTCATGTAGTTCAGTTTGCTGCCACCTTAACTATGTTGAGACCACTTTGTTCACTGGTGCGAGAGACACAGAGTGAACTTCATGGCCAAAACAACAGCACTTCTCACAGCCCCCCAGCCAGTAATCCTGTCAGCTTGCACATGGGGATCTATGAGTTGATGTCCGTTTTTGGAATCTTGCTGCACCTACACTTTTTGAGATTGGTTTTCTCTCAGTCACAAAGATAGGAACTTTTGTATTGCTACAAGGAAGAACAGTTGAGCCACTTCCTGTAGCAGAAGAGCATAGCTTTGGAATTGAAACTGCCTAGGAAGTGAGGAGAAAGGTCCATCTTCTGTAAATGAATTCCTTCATCATTACTTGGTGGCCTAAATTTTCCGGGTCTGATCTAGGTGGTCAGTCAGGAAATAATTTTTCTATTCTACCTTTCTGTTGGTGTGCTAATAAACAGGACTACTCTGTGGAATTACTGTAATTAATGGAAGAAAGAAAGACACTAACATTGATTGAATGCCTGCTAAGGACTAGGCATGTCACTGTGAACTTTCATGAATTTTTAAATTGGATAATGAATTCATTGATAATATAGTTTTTCAGGCCTAGGTGAATGGAAATTGTGAAGATCACTATCTTGCACTGTTTTGACCCTTATGTAGCCGTGTAGAGGAAATAGAGTTATATATTGATTTATTATTTTGTGTCTTTCAGAATATTGTCTTATGCTGAAGGAAAGACTAGGATTTTTTGTTTTTATCTTTTTGGGTTGCTTCTGATTGAGCCAAAGGCAGGGAGGAGACCAGCAGGTCTGAAATTAGAGACACCTATGCTGTTTTGGGAAGTTGAGACTCTTAACCTAGGATTTGCTAAAGTTGGTGCATCGAAGGTCAGGGTAGGTTAATATTTTCAGAGCTCACAGCATATGTGAATTGGGGTTGTTTACTGGTATTGTTGATCTCTGTATCTCTAAATGGAGTAAATAAAGTATAATAGTGCTGTTTTGGGAAACTTCTGCAGAAGTCCCCACACCAATGCAAATTAAATCTCAAAAAAAAAAAAAAAATCCCCATTTGTCTGTTTTAGCAAGCTGAGGGAAATGATTGTTACTGTGTTTGCCAAGGAGTTATCACACACTCTTAAAATAATTATAAATTTGATTTTCTGCTCTTAAACTTTCTCTTGAAATTCCCTTATGGGAGTTACCATCTTTATGTTCCTGAGTCATAGGCACTAATTTTGGGATAAGAATAGTTAAGTCTTTCCTAGGTGATACGAAATTAAGTTAGAATGTTCCTTCTCTAGTCTACAGTTAGGGTTTCCAAATCTATTGTCTTTTTACTCTTAAAATAGTTTTCATTGTGGTCTCAGTAAATTCTGTAGAGAATAATAAAGAGACACAGAACTGTCCTTTTAAGAGTCAAAATGGACAAATAAAAAAAATTTTATTTTGATTCTGTGAATCAAACCCAGAGCCTTTCATTTGCTAGGCAAGGGCTCTACCACTGTGTTACATCTCCAACCCTAGTTTTTTTTTTTGGTACCGGGGATTGAACTCGGGTCCTTGCGCTTGCAAGGCAGGCCACTGAACCGCTGAGCTAAATCCCTGGGCCTAGTATTTTTTAAGCTATCAAATTTTTCATTGTTATTTTCCTGTCTAGTGAATAGATCAGTGTACTTTTCCTCTTGGCTACTTGCCTTTCATGGTTTAGTAAAAAAAAAACCCTAATATAATTTTTCTTGTTTTGGCAAACAAAGACTCCTTTTTTAAAAACCAGCTTATTGAGAGATAATTTACCTACTAAAAATTCACCTATTTGAAGTGTAAAATCCAGTGATTTTTAGTATATTGGTGGTTTTGTGCAGTAATTAACTCACTCCAGTACTAAATTTCCAGCACCACAAAAAGATCCCTTGTAAACATTTTTTAACTTCTTTTGGAATTATCCACAAATTTTATTAGGTTCTTTTTTTGAGTAGGGGTTGAGACTTGGTCTCATTATGTAGCCCAGACTGGCCTCAAACCCACTATGATCCTCCTGCTTCAGCCTGCCACACACTGGGATTCTGAGCATGTGCTATCATGCCCGGCTAATTTTATTAACTTCTGCGTCAAATTTATTTTCTTCCTTCTGCAGTTTTCTACCACTGTATTGTGTGTCTTCTTTCCTCTTCATATTTGTATATTGGTTTCTTTTTTCTTCTTCCCCTTCTTCCTCTTCCTCCTCCTCCTCTTCCTCCTCTTCCTCTTCTTCATCTTTTTTTTTTTTTTTTTTTTTTTTTTTTTTTTTT